TGTCACATTCATTATTCAGCTTTATTCAGCTTTTTGTTCAAATGCTGTTACAAGTAATTTTGGGAGATATTTCAAATCATTAGATTTGTATGTAGAGCTACATCTTTATGAAACTTGAGAGCTACTGCACAATCATTATGAAATTGAATAAATGCATTGCATGATAATCTTTACTAAACTAAGCTCCAGTCATACAGAGATAGAAGGAAGCATCAGAAGGAGATATTATCATGTGCATTGCGGTCTCAGTGTTTCTGACTGTTGCACATTGACATGCATTAGTGGGAAATTCCATGACATCACAAGAGTCCATCCCTCTGTGTATAAATAGAGTGCATCCTAGAGAGCAATAAGCTTAACAAACTAAATATAGTAGCATCTAAGCCTAGAGATGGAATTGGCCATGGAGAGACACTTGAAAGGTGAGTATTATTGGAAGGATGCACGAGAAAACATTGTAGCTGACAGGTAAAGGAAGTCTGTTTTACTCCAGGGGTGAAAAGTTAAAGAAACTGGGGAATATATTTCATGTTGTGGCGGTTGGTGTGTTTTAAATTCAGTTAATTAGTACAAATTGACAATTACTGCATCTTTAACAAGGAAAATCACTACAAAGTGGTTTGTGCAGCTGCCTACTGCTAGAGGAATATTAGTGATGTTACACATGTACTTTGTTTCTGTCAAACATAATGCATTTTATATCAAATCAAGGCAAAGTCATTTTACTTATATAGCATATTGTTTTCCAAGTACTTTGCATTAAAATGCATCTCACATACCTGATTTTTCCCATAACTGTTTCATGGACAGCAGAGAAGGCTTAATTCATCTGTTGTATCGAGCCTTATTTGGCATGACCGATCCAAAACAAACAATAACACTGCTGACTAAACAGAATAACAACTCAAAAAGTGGACTCTGTATCAACAAAGCTAAGTAAGCTGGCCAAAGTTGGTGAAGTGATATCTGTCTGTACAGCGAGTAGGAGGTCAAGGGATAAACTGCAGTTTGTTTAATGGGGTTAAACGAGTTCACTCATACAGTTTGGACTACTGCCATGACTGCCAGTCTAAAGATGTCAGCCAGCTCATAGGTCACTAAACTACTAGTATGATAAAGGCTCCTCACTGTAAATGCACATGGCTAAATGTGCAAAAATGAGGCTGGAGTCTATCCAACAATCAGGACAACAGCACAAGGGGATTTCAATGTTACATTCCTGATAGTGTTAGGAAAATGAATGTATAATATGTGCATATACAGTAAACGTTACATTTAAAAAATGTATTTTGAGTTATCTGATTAATCTATATGTGGATGGATGTGGTGTACATTGCAAAGCTGCCACTAAATATACAGTGTCTTCATTTCATTTATGAATTCAACTAATTTATTTAAAAGTGATAGATAAGGGAAAATCCCAGCAGGAGGACTAGTTAATGAGTAAACCTGTTGCAGTCACTAGTTAAGCACTGAGCTTTGGCACACTTTGCACAGAAGACCATAGGAAACAGATACCACTCTGGTAGCCGGTTTACCTGAAGCATTTACATGCAGTACTTTTGACCTTAGATGACAGGAATAAATTAAAAATTTTGATTTGCAGGGGAGAGTTTGCGTGAAGGCCAGAGCCTTGTGGCAGATCCTAGGCTTCCAGGGAAATGTTATCCAGCTGTCATCGACAATTTTATTTTGAATGGCCCTACTGTGGACGTACATGCAGTAGAAAGCTTCGTCCATCACGCCATGGAAATGATTATGGATGAGGCTGTGAAAAAGGCCAGTGATGTCCAAGAAAAGGTAAACATGTAATCGTATACCTTTCTGAAATTTGTGGCAATGTACTATGGATTTCTGTAGCCAGTAGGTTTCTAGGACTAGAACTGCTACAGACCTGGATAGTGAGTTGTCTGTCCATGCTGGCCAGGTTTGTGAGTGGCGTTCCCCTGAGCAGCTGAAAGAGCTGCTGGACCTTGACCTGAGAGATGAAGGGGAGCCAGAGTCCAAGATCCTGCAGCGCTGCAGAGATGCCATCAGATACAGTATCAAGACCGGTGAGTCTCAGAACTTTAACAAAACTGGCGTATTATAAGATTTAATAATTAATCATTTAGTCTAACTGAGATCAAGATCTGTTTTGCAAGAGAGATGTGAGTACAGCAAACTGCATCAGACACAATGTTGATTATTAAATGGGATGAGACATTAAGGTTTCACTGACCCCTGAATGTCTTTTTGTGTACATGGTAGAAAGTAGAGGATAGCAGACATCACATGTTCAGCACCTACAAAAGTTAGTCAGCCCTGGGCTCTGCGATGATGAATTGTGATTTAAATTTGAAAAGAAATTTGATATACTGAGTCAACTTTAGTAGAAAAACTAGAATGAAATGTTATTATTTTTCATGTTAGTGGTGAGTATAAACCAACTCCTTCATATAGTGATAGTACAAAAAAATCACTTAAATGTAGAATTAGCAGCTTAAGAATAAAGCAAAAACACCTAGTCGGTGATAATCGCTGATGCAGTTTCCGGTCATCATGCTCTTTTCCAGGGGAAGAGATCCATTTCCATCTTCAGACTCTGCCAGCTTTATTCCACAAGATTTAAACATCCTACTGCTGTCTAACCAAAACAGTGAACAATTACAATTTCAGCTCTGTTGTGTGTGTATGGATAGCAGGAAGGTATAAAATTGAATTATAGGTCATTGAGAATAAATCACATCAGTATTCATTTCAAGCTTGAGGCTGTGCAGAGATGTCAGAGGGATGTTAAAAGCAGGCTTCAGTCAAGTGCATAATTGTTTCTTTGCAGGAGTTAGTAAGCATGTATAGTAATACAGTACACATTTGTCATTTAAAAAAATGTCTACATTTTGTAAACAAGAAGAGCACATTTAAAGGCGTAGCTGGCACACTAATGATTTCTAACAAGGCACCTGTTCTGCCTCCTCTCTGTAGGCCATCGCCACTTCTTCAACCAGCTGTATGCAGGGATGGAGCCTTACTCCATGGTGGCAAGCTTTATTACTGAAGCAATCAAAACCAGTCTGTGAGTCACAACACTCATTGTAATACTGTAAGTCATACATGGGAATATTTGAGTCCAGTCACTGTCTTTTACATAGTCAACATCACTCCAGAATGTGAAATTGTGTCATGCCATTTCACAGGTACACATACGAGGTGGCTCCTGTCTTTACCCTGATGGAGGAGACGGTGCTGAGGAAGATGATTGAGATGGTTGGCTGGGAGGAAGGAGGAGATGGAATCTTTAACCCAGGTCATCAATACTGCCTCATTTAAATTTTTTCTGTTTCATAACACATCCTGTCACTCTCTTTATTCTTTATTCAGATCCCCTTTAGCTGTCACCACGGTAACAGCTGCTCTTCCATACTCAACAAAATATGACAGTTAACACATATACAAAAATCTCAATAAAAACATATTCACATCAATAAAACTGACTAAAAAGTAAAGTACAAGATCCAGTTGTATTCCATCAAAGCCTTCCAATCAGTCAGTTAATGTTAGGATTATGTTTAATACACATTTTAATTGCCTTACATGGTGCTTCAGTGATCACAGACGGTAACTTACTCCACATTGTGATGGTTCTATATAGTTTTTCTTCAACTAAACAACCCTTAAGAGCCCACCTGGTATTTGTAATGATGTTGATCTCTTTTATTTATTTTACTGAGAGTACAAATTATTTGGTTGTTTACTATAACATATATTCCTCAACAGATTACTCAACAGATTGCATGCCAACTTATCCTGAGCCATGGAAGACTGCAATGCATTTCCTCTGTACCTTGCCTCACTCCTAACAGACTAGACAGTGCAAGCCTTGCAGTTTTATTCTGAGCTATATGAAGCTTAGATAATGCTTTTTTTTTTTGCTGTACCTGATCAAACTGCCAAGCAGTAGTTGAGGTGAGATAGTGAATCACTAACACCCTAGAGGCTGTGGTAAGAAAATAGGAGCATCTTCTAATGAATGCTATTGCTCTACCCATTTTCTTAATTTCATTATGTTTCTTCCATGATAGTTGCTCACCAAGTGTGACATCAAGCAATTTTACCTCTTGAACCTGTTCAGTATAGATACAACAAATTTTCATTATTAATAACATCTCACACTAAACAACGTACCTTTAGTTTTTGCTACATTTAAAACAGGTCTGTTCTTATTTATGCATTGAAATAATAATTGCAGGTCAGATTGAAGAGCATTCCTTGATTCTGTTATATTGGTAGATGCAAAATATACAGCTGTATTGTCTGCAAATAGAGTAGCACATAAGGCATGTCACAGGTAAATACTGAAAATAATAATGGGACACTCCACACTGTAAACATTTAGGAGAGGAAAAACTACCATTAAAAAACAAAGACAAGGTCCTACCACATAAGTAACTATTGATGCAATTAATTGCTGTTGAACTAAACCCATATGCAGATAATTTAGTTAATAATAACCTATGATCCATGATATCAAATTCTGCACTAAAATAAAGAAACACAGTTTCAACAATCATTTTCTTGTCAATCTAAGATAACCATTTATTGGTCACCTCAGTCAGAGCTTTACATGTAGAGTGATCTGCTTTGTAGACGTGCTGACAATCAGTAACAATCCATTAAATGAAAAATAGTGTAGTATCTGTTCAAGAGCAATTTTTCGATTCAGTTGCTCAACACCGGACGAATACTAATGAGTCTGCTATTAGTAGTCGAAAACCTTTCTTCTCTCTTTAAGCAAGCTCAATAATAATGTTATACATTTGTTTTAACACATAACATCTGTGTACTTTGTACCTTCCAGGTGGCTCAATGTCCAACATGTATGCTGTGAACTTAGCCAGGTACCATTATTGCCCAGATATTAAAGAGGATGGCCTTGTTGCTGTTCAACGACTTGTCATATTAGCATCACAGGAGGTAGGTTTAAAGGCACTTCTTAAGCTTAAGCTTAAACAATAAGACTGGCAATATTTTAAATTGCTGTTACTGTCAACAAATCTCATGAAAAGACAAGAGACAACTTGTGTCTTCCCCAGCCTCTCTGTAGCTCTCATCCACAAAGATGAGTTTCTAATAAAGATGTAACTCTTATGAAGCAGGTTACAGTTATATGGTTTCAATTTTTTAAAACTCATTCATTTGCTAAAACAGCAAAAATGTAAAAATAGTGGGTTTGATGGGGATTTTAATCCACATTTGGTGTTTTAGTGAGTATGTGCTACTATAGGTATCCAATAGGAAAGGTTTGTTAATAGCTTTACTGCAGTAACAGGGCCATTAAAGGACTCTTTGTAAATGTGACTTTTTAGAGAGTTGTTGCATATGTTATTTGCTCCATCTCATATAGTTCCCACACTTTTTGATCCAGATGTTGTCCGTTTGATGGTTTCAACCATCTAAATATAATGTACATTATGGCAGCCCATAATAGGATTTGAACCAAATAGATTGTAACCTGTCTATTAGCTCGTTCTAGGATTCTACCCAGAAGGGTATTTGTGAATTTGTGGACCACATTTCCTCCAACACTTGTCACTGATGTGTTTTGAATAGTATTTTGGACAGGAACTCTGCGGGACCAAGAAATTAAGATATCAGGCTTTGGTAAATGCACAACATTTGGTTTTCATGGAACTGGCTGATAGTAAAATAAAAAGTGAATGTCACCAGACCTCTTATTTAAAAATATCTTCACTTTATAATTATTGCAGCAGTTGTAGGTCAGGAAGTTAATTTTAAGCAGAGTGTATCTGAATAAAAAAGAATCACTTTGCATTTTGCAAAGTAGTAGATTGCACTATTTTCTTGATACAGTGTAAAGCTGTCCTTCACTTTTGCTCCCCCTCTTGACAAGTGGAAAATTGTTTGCCAGGTAGTGTTTAACAGATACGTAAAACCCAACATCACCACATCTCATGAGGGACTCTAAACTAACAAATTTATAAGCCATTTAGTTTTACAGTAGCACAGCAGTGATGAAATAGAAATTGACTCGATGATGGGGGAATCCCATGGTTGTTGAATTTGACTAAATGAATCCAACTAAATGAACACCTACTCAGGTAGACATACTATATGGTGACAGATTCTTGTTTAATTTCTTTCAGTGTCATTACTCCATTTCCAAATCAGCAGCTTTATTGGGCATCGGCACTAAGAATGTGTACATGGTGCCATCTGATAGCAGGTAAACATACTTTATTATCCTGTGTAATGTGCTGTGAACAGAGGTCTGACTAGTGCCAGTTGATATTATAATGACTCCTGTCAGTCAGCATTTAGTTGAACAACTCTGAAACTCAAGATATTCTATGTTAAACACTCCTTTTTGTTTTGTGCGTTTGTCAGAGGGAAGATGATTCCCTCAGCTCTGGAGGAGCTAATAAAGACAGCTAAAAGTGAGGTGAGGAAGTCACAGTACCTGCACTGAGCTTTGTTTGAAAAGAGACACTGTTGGATGACTTTTGAAGTACAAATTACTTTACTGCACAGATTTGTGTGTGTGTGTGTGTTTTCAGGGTGCAGTTCCCTTCATGGTAAACGCCACAGCAGGGACCACAGTGCTCGGAGCTTTTGATCCCATTGAGGAAATTGCAGACATCTGTGAGAAGTACAACCTGTGGCTGCATGTGGATGTGAGTTTATTGTTTCACCATTTACTGATTCAACCATCATATTTTAGTCTCAGTATTAATCTCTTTTTTGTCCTCAGGCATGCTGGGGAGGAGCAGCTCTGATGTCTGACAGGCATAAACACTTGTTGAAAGGCATCCACAGGTAAACAGGTTGATCACATCAAAGCAACTCTCCTGCTAGTGAATATTCCATAGTCCTGTCATCTACATAGATTAAGATGCCTTCAGTGATAACACTATAATCTCTCTCTCTGCCATGTTTCTTGTGTCTGATAAGAGTGAACTCTGTGGCCTGGAACCCTCACAAAATGCTGATGGTATCACTGCAGTGCTCTGCTTTCCTGGTCAGAGACAAAACAGTAAGACAAGTTCCATTATCATCTGATGATGCATCTGCTCCACAGAAACACATAAGGCTCTGTTTTTGTGCAAGAAGGCGCAGCGCTAAACTTGTGTCTAACCCTCAGATGCAAAGTGAATATGGGTGTGTTCAACAGTGTTTTGCAAATTAGGGTGACCACAGACGCAGCGCACTTTCACATGCAACCAGTTGTTACTGGGCACATTTTGTAGCAGGGGCGAAATACATTATTAGAGGGGGGGATACATGGTGAGCAGGTGGAGTCAGGGCGGTGTTTAGCGTTGTCCAATCAAACCAGCTCCTCTCATCCCCTTTAAAGAGCAGGGTGGAGACCTGACTGACTGAAGTCACTGATGTACATGAGAGGGGAGTTTCTTTCCCTCCACCTTCTTCTCCTGCCAGTTATGTTCTCCATTCCTAAACTGACACTGACAAAATTTTTTAAGTACTGCACATAAAAATTCACTCAGTAGCCTGCTAATATCACTGACCAGTGTTTGACAGATAGAAAACCTCTGGTCCTGTAACCAACAGTAGTTCTATGGTGTCATTTGCTCACAGCTGTATCCAATGCACAAAAACATCTCACATGTAACCTTATAAACGTTTTGCAGTTTTTAAATTAATACGGTAAAATCATACTGTAATCACTTGGTTTATGGTCCACCAAAGCGCACAGCCAGTGGACGTGTCGTCCATTTTATCTCCACCTACAGCTGCTTCATTTGAAGAAACTGTAATTTAACAGTGACAGCAGCCACAGTGAAGTCGGACTGATGTTACCTGCCGCGTAGCAGGATTAACGGCGACCTCTGCAGGGTGTTTGTTATTCATCTTGGCCCATGACCTGCTTTCACATGTTATTATGTGTAATATTTTATTATGATTTAGAGTCTGATCTGTAGTTCCCAAACACCAACTACAGGTCATCTCTGGCTGCTGTAAGGACAGATGGTGCGCCCTGATGTGCATCAACAGTGTTTGACCATATTCATATCTATAACCACATACTAAGTGGCTAATTAGCCTAATTAGCATACACACCTCAACGTAAAAAATACCAAACACACCCAAAAAGTAGACATGCACCCAAAGAAAACTGCATACAGACTGTAACCGAAGTGATGCAGAAATTGTGCTGGCAGAAATAATAGAGCCCTTAGTGTAGAGTAGGGGTGATTTACTGATATTGACGATAACCATAATATTTTAAAAATGAAATACATCATGTTAATAATACACATATGATAATATCTTAAATAACCCAGAGCCAGTAATATCTCTTTGACACTCCAACTAAGTAGGTGGCAGTATTGCACTTAAACACTGGCTGCCACCCAACAGGGAAAAAGAAGAAGAAGAAGACCACCATGCAGTAACTACTTGGGCAGCTACTACCCTACCAGACAGCATACACAGTAAAGTTAATGAAGAATACTGTAATCATGATCATTTTTGGCCACAATAATCATGTAGTGAAAATCTGATATTGTGACAGCCCTAATGTAGAACCAGTCTAAGACAAAAAGGGCATGGTGTGTGTCAGATCTTCAGCTAGATGTCGTACAGAGGCCTTTCATGTTTTTTGCCTTTCTGCTCTCAATATTAACACATCATTTGAAGTTATATTTTAATTATGTTTAAAAACTGATTTTTGTCTGTAAAAGAAATATAAAGTATAGACTACTGTATACAATATCCGTGTCACTGTGCTTCCTCAGAGTCTCCTCCAGCGATGCCACTCTGCTCAGGCCTCCTACCTCTTCCAGCAAGATAAGTTCTATGATGTCAGCTATGACACAGGGGACAAGTCCGTCCAGTGCAGCAGGAAACCCGACGCCTTTAAATTCTGGCTCATGTGGAAGGCTCTGGGAACCAGAGAGCTGGAGCAGAGGGTGGACAGAGCTCTTGCCATGGCCAGGTTAGCTGGAGGAAACACATGTGGTTGCGGGCTGTTTGCCTTGTATTTACAAGGCAAACAGTTATGGGGTATGAGAGCTGTAATTAGAGCAGTAAACCAGAAACAAAATGTGACAGATGCCAAAGTCAAACTATGTGGGTCTGACAGAAGTTGAAAGCTTTTGGATGAAGCTGAATAGACCTGCTCACATGTTACCAGTTAGCTACATCTGTCTGTTGTCTGCTCCTGCAGTCTTGCCTCTCCTTTTTTGTTTTGTTGCTAAAACACATGGGCTAAAGTCTACACACAGACAGACACAAACACTGGGACCACTGTGAAGTGCTCAGAAAATCCATGGTTTCGCAAGCCTAGACTCACTAGCGTGGCATTGACAGTGACAATTTGTTTTGTCACTAACTAAAAAACGCCACATGTGGTTTGGCTGCCAGTGATGACATAGCTGTTGTTATATACATATAGTCATATATATATACAGTCTAAGCCTGATGTTCCCCTGTTTGTATCCTCTAAATACTGCATAATTGATTTGGTTATCTTAAAATTACTTGTGAAATTTAGTCACTAAAGCCTTTAGGGTGGTTATAATAGTGACAAGACTAAGAATCAAATGTAATACTGATATTAGACTTACTGATGTTATTATATATTAAACTTTTCTAATGTGATCATGCTTTTTGTTGCAGGCATCTTGCACAAGCGATCAAAAAGAGAGAAGGGTTCACTCTCTTGATGGAAGTGAGTTTTCAAATATTCATCCATAATTTCAGATAAAACCACAAATTTAACTGCTCATCAGTCAAATACATTTCAAAGAAGTCTGTGATATATTTATTTAATCAGTTAAATTGAAATTAGATGTGATCTTTAAATTTACTTTCCTGTCTACAGCCTGAATATGCAAATGTGTGCTTCTGGTACGTTCCACCGAGTATGAGGAGCCTCCCAGCTGGTCCTGAGCTCTGGGAAAAACTCCACACTGTAAGTCATCCATTACTGAATATTTTACCATGATGACCACAGACTGCATAGTTCTGCTGGCACTTGATACACATTGATGAAGAAAAGATTACTTTATAAAACTATTAGAAAAAGCAGTGCTGGGGAGTAGTGAACTACATCTAATTAAACTAGTAGCTTAACAACATTTTACAGTAACTTGCTGACAGCATAACTGCATTCATATTTCCATAGTTATTTAACTAATATAATGACTTTTTTTGCCATTTTTTATGTAGTTAGCTACTGAAACTACAAACAGTTTTGGCCCATAAAAAGAAAAGAATAATGTTTTATTTTTATTTTACAGTGCTGCATGTGAGCAGTTTTTAGTGTTTTCTTCCTTTTTTAAAACTTTGAATGAATACATGAATATGTATTAGATACTGGAGTCATTACAGTTTGCCCTTTGTCCTATAGGTGGCCCCAGTGGTTAAAGAGCGCATGATGAAGAAGGGCAGCTTGATGGTGGGCTACCAGGCCCATCATGGCCAGCCCAACTTTTTCAGGATGGTGGTGATAAGTCCTCAGGTCAGCAGGGAGGACTTGGACTTTGTTCTGGATGAGATACACAGTCTGGGAAAGGACTTGTGATGAATGCTGAGTGTCTATGAAGAGCCTGTCTTTGGTCTTCATTCATCTGTCATCTGTCATGGTTCCACTTGCCAAGGCATTTTCACTACCTTATTATAGGAAGAGTTTGAAGGGAGAATGTTTTGATAGTGTACAATGTGTGTATCATCATGAAATGATTTACATAAGACTGTGATGATCTGTAAAATGATGACTATTACAAAATAATCTTTTTTTTTCCACAAACAAATACAACTTTAAATTACAGAACAGGTTTACAAAGAAACATCAATATCAACTGTGGCTTTTCTTCTGAGCTCAGGACATTTGATCAGAAATTATATAAACTGTATTTTTTCTAAAGGTCATGCTGCTTCTGAAGAACCTTTTCTTGGCCACACTTAGGAGCATACATATTGGTCAGTTTATTGGTACTTATATTTGTCTCTGAAGATGATGTATTATTATGTCATGTCTGTTGTTTTTATGAGCAAACACACCCATGTTTTTGAAGAACATTGTTCCTTCCACATCTGGTACCTGGACCAACTGATCAAACTCCTGGTTGTATGAGAAGTTCACTGCCATATCTTTAGGGTGAGGTTGTTTTTTTAAGTTTACACAACTTTGGACAGATATGTTTCATTATTTGTTACTCTCGAGGGTGCCTCTTATTTGTCTCATTCAATCTCATGTTTGTATGTTCCCGTTGAATAACTTATGTTCAAGGTGTGCTTTGTGACAAAAGTCTCTACAGATCTAGATTCCTGAGGCTGTTTGTTTGGTCTGCCTGCATAGCTTCCTGCCCACTCTGCTGCCAGTTCCATGCGCATGGATCTGCACCTCACTTATTTTAGGTCACTGACACCTATGACATATATGTGAAAAATGCTCACTCAGCTGTGTGATGATGATGCTTATGATTATGTCAGTGCCAACTATTGATGCTCATTTAATTTCTGTTAAATTGTTGACCTGCTGAGCTCTGGTAAAGCATCTCAAATCAGTAACGGACTCTTTTTGTGTTTGTCAGGTTCGTTGTGCTTTATTCTTACTCCTGAACAGAATAAATAGTCACAGAATACTTCAGTTACACACTGAGGAGTAATGCTTCCTCTTGGAGTTTGAATAAAATAGTTTATATGAACTGAAACCAAATTAGTAGATCTTTTATTTTTCTTCATATGAGATTATTCATGTTATTCAAAGGAATTCACAGGAATGTTTCCCCAAAAAAACCCAGGACTCACTTCACAGAAAAATAAAATAATCCAGAGGTGGAAATCAGATAACACAGAGTAGCATTTTAAAACAGTATCCTTGATTTGCGAGTCAGACTTACAGTGCATTCCTTGTCTGTTATATTTACATCTACAGACAGGTGACACATTAAAGGAAAAACCTGAATGAATGAGTGGTCTCTTCCAGGATGCCAATGCCCCCCATAGGTCACGAGGTGTCACTGAGTGGTTTGGTGAATATGATACTGATGTGAATCATACACTATGGCCTGCAGTCACCAGATCTCAACCCAGCTGAAAACCTTTTGGAGATTTTGGAGTGACGCGTTAGACAGCATCTCCACCACCATCATCATCACCAAAACACCAAGTGAGGGAATATCTTTTGTAAGAATGGTGTTCATCCCTCCAGTGGAGTTCAGAGACTTGGACAGTCAGTGCCAAGAAGCACTAAAGCTGTTCTGGTGGCACGTGGTGGCCTGACACTTTACTGAGACACTTTATCTTGGGTTTTCGTTTAATTGGTCACACTTCTGTTTATGACAAATATGCAAAACACTTCAAATTATTAATATTTTATTATTTATAAACAGCACTGTGACCTTACAATCATGCATGCTGTATGACATTATGTCAAATCAAATCAAATCAAATTTTATTTATATAGTGCCAAATCACAACAAAAGTCATCTCAGGACACTTTACAGAGTAAAGTAATAGTTATCACTATTATTACATAGGGAAAACCCAACAAATCCCCCTTGAGCAAGCACTTGGCGACAGTGAGGAGGAAAAACTCCCTTTAACAGAAGAAACCTCCGACAGACC